TGTACGCTTTCCACCTGTTTGTGAAATAAAGATAAGGAGTTTATTTATGCAAACTGTGACTTAAACCACTTTCCACCTGAAGTTCTAGACCAAATTTTCTGGTGAACTACAAAACAGCCAATAGGTAATATGTTTTAGCTATTAGAGAGTCCCACGTTCTCTTCTTTATCTGGTATTTATTCCAGTCTTTTCACTTAATCAAAGCTTTCTTCATTTAAAAAAGAAAGTTTCTCTATGAATTTTGCTTTTACTTTATCTTTTCAATTAACAGTTAACAGAACTTAGCATATTTTTAGTTAATTTTTAAGGAAGTAATGTGATGTTATTTTTTTGTAAAAAATTTTAATCACATTAAGTAATAACCCATGTTCGAGTTATGCATTGTCTCAGGTAGTGGACAGTGGACATCTTTAAAAGTAGGTGTTTACTTTCGCCATGTATGTCAGATTGCTAGCAGACTGTAACGCAATATGGACTTTGTCACAAGTAGCATATTCTTAATTCCATTCTGTATTTAAGCTTTTCTCAGACTCTAGGCTTAGTAATGGCATCTTTTATTGCCAGTAAAGACTACAGGTTCTGAAATATTGTAAGGACGGCTACTCAGTTTGGATTTGATGTTTGGAGGCAGAAAAGTAGATATTTTTAGTGTGAGAATGTGAGGACATTTTAGCAAAAAAGGCACTCTTACCTGTATTTGGGATGAACATGCTGCTAAGACCTACCATGCAGTTTCTAGGTTTTCCCATTCATCTGGATAGAGAATCTGTGTTCCTTATTTTTGTAACTTCCTTTTTTTTTTAATGCTTTTCATATACGTTTTGTTTCAGCCTCTTCCTTAGAGGAGTACCTTTCAGAACTTTTTATTTGAAAAAAATCAATGTGAAAATGTAATGTTAACATTTGTCTTCGTTCAGTGTGGCAAACCACTTATTCCTCTCTTTTTCCTCCTATAAAGTTTCTCAAGAAAAAACATAGAATCATAGAATCATAGAATGTTTTGGGTTGGAAGGGACCCCTAGAGGTCATCTAGTCCAACCCCCCCGCAGGAGCAGGGACACTGCTAACTAGATCAGGCTGCTCAGAGCCCCATCCAACCTGGCCTTGAATGCTTCCAGGGATGGGGCCTCCACCACCTCTCTGGGAAACCCATTCCAGTGTTTCACTACCCTCATTGTAAAGAATTTCTTCCTTATATCTAGTCTAAACCTACCCTGGTTTAGTTTAAAACCATTACCCCTTGTCTTGTCACAGCTGGCCCTACTGAAAATATTTTCCCCATCTTTCCTATAGGCCCCCTTTAGGTACTGAAAGGCCGCAATCAGGTCTCCCCGCAGCCTTCTCTTCTCCAGGCTGAACAAGCCCAACTCTCTCACCCTGTCCTCATAGGAGAGGTGCTCCAGCCCTCGGATCATTCTTGTGGCCCTCCTCTGGACCCGCTCCAACACTTCCATGTCCTTAAATTGGTGTTTGGGTTTTGTTTTTTTTTTTTTTTGACTTAGCAGAATTCCTTGATTTTTCTAGTCCTGACACTACTTTAAAGACAAGCACTCACATCAGTGCTAATGCTGATCATCCCATCTTGGAATAGTAATAGAAACCATCATTCTGTTTGTAATGACTCTGTGGGTATTTTCCGGTGGCTGGGTCAACGGTGCCTACTCCTGTAGTGGCTAGTATAGTGCTAAGCTTCATGCTGGGGGCTTTTATGTTAACTTACATGCTCTGCTGGTGCACTCTATCATATTGTATAGCCTACTTTTGCTTCTATAGAGCTTCCCTCACCTCTTTTTATATTATTTTCTATTCACGCATGCAATTTAGGTTACTAAATATGATGGGCTTGGGATGGCTCCATACCATTCTCTGCTTTGTTCTGCTCAAAGATTGTAGTTTTCAAGGGGTATATGGTGTGAAGTATGGGATGTCGTATTCATCCTGTAACCTGTTCTGAGACTGGTAAATGAATGTATGAGCATGGTCAAAGCACAGGAGAAGCCACAATGGGGCTAATACTCAGCTGAAATTAATAAACTCTAGCAGATCTAAGGTGTGAGTCCTGGGGTTGCTGTTTCTCTCCTGAACTACCCAGACCATTCCTTGATTTTTATTATTATTTGCTTTATTCATGTTCCAACAATTCATTCCGTAGTAATCTTGTCGTATTGGTTAGCCCTAGCAGTTGTCTGAGGAAATAAGGTTCACAAACCTTTAAGTTGGTTATCTCTTACCTAGGTAAATGGAGGTGTTAAGGAAAGGAAGGAATCCAGAATCATTTAGAAATCATGTGTCTCTCATAACAGACAAATGAGAAGCAAAAAGTAGAGGGGTGAGAGTTGTGAACAACAGGAAGGAGGACCCCCAACAGGGTCTGAAATCACTGTTCATGTAAACACATGGACAGGTCTTGTAATGGCAATTGATAGTGCTGTCCACATGAAAATTTTCTGTGTTACATAAGACTTCTTGACATGGATATTACCTCTTTTTATGTGACAAATGCATAAAAATGCTAAATGCAGTCACTTTGGTTTTAAGCTCCATTTAAGAAAAGCTGTCAGTATTTGCTCTTGTTTTTAAAATCATCAGCATCTTGCAAACAAGTTTGAGGTGTCACTCCTGAAGAAAATCTCTTTATTGGAGCATATGAAATATCAAATAAACTGTGTCTCATTGTGGAGGAGAAAAAAATACAAACGGTATTTCATGATTTCAGTACAAAGTTGTAGACAGTTTCCATATGAGGATACAATCAATCTAGATGCACCATTTGTGATAAGTTTCAGGGAACTAGATGAACATAATTTAACCAGCTTTCAAATATACAGATAATTAACATCTGAGACAAAACTCTATAAAAATAAATAATAAAGAAGGAGGAGAAATGGCAGTCTGTTGTCTTTGCTTTCTGTTATAAGTTTTCAAAGGATTGATGAATTCAAAATAGGACTACAATCATAACTTTCAATTTTGAGATTTTCCAAATATTTGCAGGCAATGGGCTATAGAAAGATTTTTTTTTTTTTTTTATTGGCTTCATTTTTTTGGACTTATTGGGATAATTTGGTTAAAGTCTTGCCTATGTGATTATCCTTGATATTGGTTGACAGAGGAATCTCTAACATTTTGTGTCTTTTGGCATGTATTTTCTTCTAAGTATGGAATGTAGAAAACATACTTACACTCAAATAGAGTTAATTGAGGTTTGGGTTTTTTTTAAATTTTACTGGCTTGCTTGTTTGGGTTTTTCTGATGTTGTGGTGGGTTTTTTGTTGTGTGGGTTTTTGTGGTTTTTTTTTGTTTAGTTTTGGTTTTTAGCCAAATCATGCAACTAGAGTTGCAAGAGAGTTTCAGGAAGGTTGAAATACTGATATTTTTTCAGGAAAAAAAAATGATGGTCATTACCCCATATCCTTTATTTATTATGTTTGTACTTTGAATTGTTTTATTATTTTTAACCTTCACACTGTTAACCTTCACTGCCTTTTTGTTCTGGATTATTTCAAATAATTTTGCTATGTCTATAAGAAATGTGTAATGTTTGTAGAAATAGTAAAATTCAGTATACGATTTCTTTAAGCCAGTTTAAAGAATCCAGTAGTTTGTGATACCTCAGAAAAATCTCATGTTGTCCCTCTATCATTCCTTTTTTTCCTGTAGTAGAAGTTGTGACTTATGATAGATATACTGTAAATTCCTTCTTATTTTAAACAGAATGTTAAAAAAAATTAAATTATAACTTGAGATATGTTGCATGCATCATTCCTGATTCTTACATGCGTTTAAAGAAATGTAGTATTTAGTAGCACACATGTACTTGCAGTGCAAATTTTTCCTGTCATTTAGTGCATTTTCTAGTATATTATTAACCTGAAATATATCAATGTTGAAAAAAAACCAAACCAAAACCAACCCTTAATCTTCTTAGGAAAACAGTGGAATTTTTATTAAATGTGGCTGATTTTTATTTTGTAGATGAAGTCTTCATTTCTTGGCTTTGCATGAGTGAACCAGGCTTTTGACTGCTATTCAGATACTGTGTGCAATTGCAGATATAATTTAAAGTTTATATACTTCATATGTAATATTTTAGAAAATAAGCAAAACAAGTCAGCCTATGAAATGGGCCTATAGTAGGTAAGGTGTGTGTGACCAGTAGTCCTCCCTCTGTTCTACTGCCTTATGGTATTGCCTCATTTCCTCCATCTTGCTATTTGGAGGAACCAGAAAAGGAACTCATCTCAGTCTGCAAAGAGGGTGAGAAAAGCAGGGGATTAACCAAAACTATCCCTGTTTAGGAGGCTAGATCATTTAAGGACAAGTATACATTTGAAATCAAATGTTCCATGTCTAAATTTAAAGAAACACTGAATACATTTGAACTGAGTTCTTAACAAGCAAAAATTTCGTATTTTCACAGAACAAATTCTACTAATTGTTCCTTGGACACTAGGAATGTCTAAGGACATCCTTCCAACAATTTTCTTTAATCACTTTAGGTCGCACTGGATTTTATTTTTTTTTTCTTCTTTCCTAGGCCCTCAAAGAAAAGGATGACCTCAGAAGTCAACTTCTCTCTGCTATACACCAAATAGAAAACCTTCGGAAAGAGCTGAATGATGTGCTTACAAAGAGAGCCCAGCAGGAAGAACTCCTCCACTGCAAAGAGGTAAAACTGAATGAAATGAAGTCTCACCAGGCATCTCTTGAAGAAGAGATCAAAGAAGTTCAAGGTACTGTAAATAAATTGGAGAATGAGTTGAAAAAGCAAGTCTTTCTACAAAATCAAATGCAAGCTGAAAAGGAACACTTGGAGACAGAACTTGCAACTAGTAATTTGATTCATAAAAAAGACCAAGAAAGACTCCTAGAAATGCAAGCAGATGTAAAAAACTTAAGTTCTGTACGTGTGGAACTAACAAACAGAATAGCAGAAGAGGAGAAAGTCAAGAAGGAATTACATAAGAGTCTCTCAGATCTC